CCTTCCTCGGCAGCTCCGATCGCCCGCACCCGGCCCCGCCTCGACCGCTCCTCCCGCCCCTTCCCCGCCCTCCCCTGCAGCCGCTCCTCCGGCCACTCCCCTGCCTCTTCCCCAGCCTCTCTTCGCGCACCTTCCCTTACACGCCTCTCGTTACGGCTCCTCCCATGCACTGCTCAGCGGCACGGTTCCATCCCGGGGTCACCGGGAACTCTGACGGTTCAGCAGTTTTACGCGGTAACACACTGTTAGAATTTTACTTTCATAGTTTTTCCCCACCGGATGGGTATTCCCGAGGTCCGATTCAGCACAACCCAAAAACCGAGACATGACAGTACATTAATTGCGCTCTGCATGGCCTAGGAGCAGGGCTGCTTTCCCCATTCCTCAGTCTGCCTCCTGCACGCCTTTGTCTGGATTAACAGCTCAATAATTTCCGAATCCGTTTTAGAACAGGGGTGCTCCTGGGAGAGACTGCTCCCAGCTCCTTTCTGTGGTACCACAAAAGCTCTCACAGGCGTTTTTTGAAGTACTGGAACCTGAACTGAGCAGGCAATGCTAGGGGCACTGGGAACACCCAGAGACTGGTAAGCACTTAACACACAACGAACCCTGGTTCTCCGATGATCTCAGAATCACAGAATGGACTGGGTGGGAAGGGACCTTAAATATCATCTTGTTCCATCCCCCTGCCATGGACAGGGACACCTTCCACTAGTACAGGTTGCTCAAAGCCCCATCCAGCCTGGCCTTGAACAGTTCCAGGGATGGGCACTCACAACTTTATGGATTTATGTAATCTAAATGTGATAATAGAATACTTATACAAAACATGGCACAGTATCCAAGTCCAGCAGTTCTGAGCACAAACTGAATTTTCTGTAAAGTAGCACATTAGAAATCTGTGTGTTTAATTGCTTAAAATTAATCTGAGTTTGAGTTAAAATAAATTTCAAATACAATTTGCAATATTTGCAAATGCTTTGCCCCAAATTATTTCAGTAGGATAACACCAGCTTGTTGAGTTTTTGGGATAAATAAAACGCAGTTAAATCCTGTGCAGGGACTCCCATAGGAAGAAGTTTTATCCTTTATTAAGGGCTAGAGCTAATTGTGACCGTCCATCGCCAGCTGGACTGGCAGCAAACCCTTACAGGTGCATAGTTGAAACACCAGTTACAGCTTCTAAAGTATTTCCTTAAAACTTTTCAGACAGTTAAAAAATTGGCTTGAAGTTAAAACATATTTTCCATATACAGCTGAAGTCTTGTTTTCAATATGTATTGACCAAAACCCACTGCCATGTGTGTGAGACTGCAGGAAAAAGATGCACATTGCTTGGCCAGTGCTGGCTGCAATCTGAGAGGGTTTCTGTGAATCTCCTTTCTGGATGGGGCCTCTAGAAGATGAGCTGCTTTTGTACCAGCAATACTGTTTCTCTGGAAATCCAGCTTTGAAAACATTTCAGTTTGCACAGGCTCAGTAGAAATTCCTTGACTTTATTAGTTTAAGTCCTTGAAGAGTCTGGTCTTGCTGGGATTTTGTCTTTGCAGTTTCTGATGCCAATGTTGAGCCTGTGCCAACTCAACCATATGGCTACTCCATATCAGGAGTGGAGAGGATTCCTGAGTACAGCAAAGAATAGGCACTGGGATCAGGGGGTCAGTCTGTCATTGTCTGAGCCCAGTTCCTATCATAAATTCAGAAAACAAGACATCTGGTGATAAGTCAGAGTGAATCAGTGAATTTAAAAGACATTGAAAGAACATCCTGGAAACTTGCAAAGACGTTATGAAGTGGAAGAAACACGTAATGGACTAAGAATAATAGTATGAGCTGCTTCCTCATCTAAGCTAATATCTGTGTCCATAATTATGTAAGTTGTTTCTTCTAAGCAGATTAGGTTTTTAAGTGGTTCAATTCAGAACATGAAGATTCTTAATTCTGTGCTTGTCAGGTCTTGAGCACGTAATTTATTTCTTCCATGTCAGCAGCCTAATCTAAAGAATTGGAACTGTAATTGACCTTTGTTATACAGTCCTTAAACTGGTAAAACTGTGTTTCATAGTATTTATAGAATCTTTTGCCATCTTGTAAAGACCAAAACATAAATAATTTCAGCAATTGTTCCTAAGTATTTATGTGCTTTGCAAACAACAGTTATTCAAAGCTTCTGTATGTAGAATCAGCAATTCTTTTACATAAATTCTATATTCTAATTTATTTTATTTGGATAAGGTACTTGTATTACTCTTTACTTTGTATCCTGAAACAAGAAGTAACTGTATTTCTCTGACCAACAGTACACTGTATGTATTGGTTGGGAGACAGGTTTTCTTCACTACTACTGTTATCTGAAAGCTGAAATTACTTTGTATGGAATGGTTTATACTTACAGCAAAGCTTCCCTCCAAAGCAGGTGGCAAAACCTATTGTACTGGTGCAGGCTATTAATCATATTACCAGAATAAACCAGTTTGTGCAGGAAACACTTAAACTGCAGAGGCTTCAGAACACGAGGTGTGAAGCTGACGCCAGTTGGTGGCTGTGGGATGTCCCCAGGGCCACAGAGCTGCTGCTCACCTGCTCCAGCCGGGCGCTCCCGGGTCCCGGCTCCACTACCGGAACAACCAGGCCGAACAAAAGGTCCCACACACTCGTAACAAGAGAGGCCGATGCGCTTTGCTGCGCAATGGCCCCTTCTTCCCACACCTGGAGCCCTAAACGCGAGTGTTAAAACGGAGCATTGAGGCTCCGCTCCCCGAGCTCGGCACGAACCTGTGCTGGCGCAGCCCCTTTAAGGGAGGCGGGTTCCCGGCCGGCTGAGGCACCATTCACTTCCAGGTCGGGGGAGTAAACACGGGGGAAGGGAGGGAGGGAAAGAAAAAAGCGAAAAGAGAAGGAGCCCAGTGACGGGACCGGCTGGCTGGGCGCTCGCCGGCGGCAGCCAGCGCCGCGATGGTGAGGGGGCGATGAGGGGATGCCGGCGGGCAGGGAGGGAGGCAGGAAGGGAAGGGGAGCAACATGTTCGCCTGCAGCCCCGGGGTGCCGGACCCGGCGCAGGTAGCGGAGGTGACCCCGGGGAAGGGGCCGCCATGGCGGCGGCGCAAGCCCGGCTGAGGGGCTCAGGCGGGGCCCCCCCTCCTCTCCCTCCCGGCGGCACCGCGGCCGGGCCGGGGCAGCCCCGCCGTTCGTTGTGTAACCGCGGCGCTGCCGCCCGTTATGTAAAAGGGCGCTCGGGACCCGGCAGACGGCAGGCTCGATCCCGGCTCGGTGTCCCAGGGAGCCGGGAGGGCGATGACGGCCGGCCCAGATCCGCCGCCCTGACCGGCCCCTCACAGCCCCGTGTGGGGCCGAGCAGCCACAGCCGCCAGGGCGGAGCGGGGCAGAGCCCCTCGGCCGGCCGGCGTGAGGGCACAGCCCGGCACAGCTCAGCCCAGCCGCCTGTGCCTCCTCCGGCTGCCGCCTCCCCCGGCCCCCAGCAGCACCTTCCCACTGGGAATTGCTTTGTCCAGCGTCTGTCTGGAGGAAGCCGTGCCAAGGCACGGTGCGTGGGCCTTGCTGAGCTCTTGCAGCGCGGAGCTGCCAAAGGAGCAGCCTTTCCCTGCTCCAGGCAGGCCGGAGCAGAACATATGGAAGCTGTTTGGATTGCTCCTCTGCTCCAGACATGAGTGTGCATATTTGCTTTTCAAGTACTAGCAGGAGCTTCGTGGGCAATCTTGGTCTTATCCCTTGTCATTAAAAGCCTAATTTCAGTCAATCCCCTAATGAAGTTATGTATCATTGTTATTGAAGTAGCTACATTTTGTGCCTGCTCTTCTAATCAGTGAACTAGGGTAGAATTTAATTGTTTAACTATGTACTGATGCTTAAATCTATGGCAAAACTTCCAGTTCACGGCATTTCTACGTACCTTAGTTGCTGTGCTCACAGTGTGTTTCTCCTTAATGGCTTTTTTTTCTGTCTATAGTTTATATTCATTGTTCTGTGTTTATTTATAGGTAGCATTTGTATCTCTCACCTTTTGATCTTCTAGGCTAAGAAAAGCTGGGTTTATGTCCTGTTCCCAAGGTACTTTTGCTTCCCAGAGCATTCTAGTAGCTGTTACCTTTTAACTGAAATGGTGCAGGTACCTTTTAACATAAATAGCCCTGTGAGATCTCCCAAGTGTCTTGAAAGTGACTTAATCCTTCCTTCTTTTTTTTTTTTTATGCTTCTTTCTTTTTTTATAGTTCAGCACACCATTCTGGTTCCCACTGTCTATCATTTCTAATTGATGAACTTGTATCTGAAGTTCTTGATGTTAATCTTGAAATAAGTGGCTTTACTCTGTCATTCTAATGGGGCACTATTTAATTTTAGGCCTCTTGTGATTGCTGCTTTGTATCAGTAGCAGCTTTAATCAGTATGTTCCCACTTCTTGTGCCAGAATAGTTAATGTTAAATTGGAGTTTTGAGCATAATCCTTCCTTGAGTCTGGCTAATAAATCACCTACTTCTGTTTAATTCCATTTAACTTAATTTAAATAGGATAATCATAAAGCTTTCTTAGTAGCATTAATCATGAAGCTGTTTATTTTTCACTGCCTTTATTAGCACTCAGAAGAATTTTGATGGCTGTTGCTATTTCTTAATTGTTTTAAGAATGTTAATTTTAAGAAAGTAAGTAAAGTTCTGGAGCTGTGGAGAGGTGGAAAACAGCTGGAAAACATGGTCCAGCATCCAGCACCAAAGACTGAAGTTCTAAATTATCTCTTATTTTCCTGTTAATGTTTTGAGAGAAATGACTGCCACAAATTGAAAAGTCCCTAACCCTGTGCCCATCTCGTCCTTTGGGACTTTGGAAGGAAAAGCTGGTGGGCCGGGCTTACAGAGACCTGGCATGTTTGGGGTTTTTCATACTGAGTCTGCAATTGGGTGTAAAACTTGAGGAGCGGACCATAGACATGGTTCTGTTAGAGGTGA